TCAAATAAACCATCTTTAGTATCATATCTGTTTGAATAATATAAACATTATTTTTGTGTTATAATTATTGAGAGAATGTCGTCAACAGAATCATGGATTACATTCGTTCAATCTCCACACCATTAGGGCCAACACCGGTATTTAAAATGTATAATCTTCCGTTTCCTACTAATCCAAAATTTGCCGCTGTTGCACATGATATTTTATTATCAATGAATGGACTGAATTGTAACTACAAAAAAAATTCATGAATAGTTAAAAAAATTATGATTGAGATCGATATTTTTATTTGTCAAAAAATTTTTACCGAATACCCATTGTGTCCTTCGGTACGAAATCGCAACATTGCCATGTTTTTTTTTTTTTTTTTAACTGTCAAAATATCCTTAAATATTAAATTTAGTCACACGAACTACTGATTTTGAGTCACCTGATAAACTATAATCACAATAAACTTGGCAAAATTAGAAAAATTTAATCAAATGACGCAATAATGTTTTATTCTTTTAGTTACAAAAAAATGATTTTTCAATTTACAACTATATATTCAAGAACTAAATATTGAACTGTAAATTTTTTTACATTCAAATAATGGAATATACAAAATGGGATTCTTTTGAATTTAACGGAGGTAAAACAAGTCAAATTTTAATCATTTCAATTCTGGCTAACGCTTAAACATGTGTTACTAAAATATTTTCTTGTTATGATTTGACGGATGCATGGGTATCGGCAAGATAATAGCAAAAGCACGTGGCTGAAAGCCTCATGCGTTGCAATTATCGTTCCGTTTATCTGGCAGGTATGACGTATACTTACGGAAAGAATTTTATATCGATATTATTACTTCCGCAGGTCTTTATATTAATAAAATTAATCACATGATTTTAATAAAAAAACGATTTGCAGAAATAATTACATAGTACTGTACCTACCGGATAAGATAATTTCAATGGGATGGTACCGAACAGTTGATAGAAAGATACCAGATACGTACGTACATTATTTAGGGTGATCTAGGATGGTTCAAAACATACCCTACTAGAGTAATCTTCAAACAAACGAAATACACCTCTACAGAGCAAAACCCTAGAATATTGAATCTAGAGCATCAAATTGGAACATATAACAATTTGGTATTCTATTGTCGGTTGATTATCTTGGTGGGACGGTAACGGTAACCCAGCCCTATCATTATTATTTAATGCATGCTCTATATCAATAATGAGAAGCAATGCGTATATGTCCGTTAATAATAACAAATAAGAGAGCACATGTGTAGTACGATATAGATTAATGTAAAGAAATGTGATCACTTTCGTATAATTCGGTAATTATTATTCATATGGGAATATAATCGCTAGTGGATGACCTTGTAATGAAATCTTATCACAAATTATATAAGAAAAAAGATTTGGATCTATTGAGTTAATCCGATGTAGCAGTACACATTCTGAACTAGTTTCGTGTAAATCGATTTTAAATTTTTAAATAGATTAGATCGTTAAAAACAGTTGGTGAAATGCTCGAAAAAGATTAATACGTTACGATGGATTAAACTCATCCCTATAGTGCGTACTTACGTACGTACGTACGTGGAGATATAAGATGTGACACGTTTATGCAATGGCATGTCATTTTAAATGCAAGCTTATATACCGAATAGATAGTAGCTTAGACGATGCCAACTTTTCTGGAAAATATTTAATCCTGTTCTTCTATCTCATCCTATTACTAACTTCCTTATTTCCAAGCTTATGAATTTATCAATTTCATGAGATTAGATGTATAGGAAGTTGTATTTCTCTGAAATGTTTACCGGGTACATAGTATTACTGTTCAGAAATATTGTCGATATTTTTTATTTTAGATCTATAATTGGCACTGCTTTCTTCTTCTTCAGCATGTGAAGGGGTTTTAAGATTACAGTATCGTAATACACTAATGAATTTTTGCAAGAAAAATTTTTGGAGCTGAAGCTGAGATTTTGAGGTCTTTTACAAATCTAAATTCTAACCTAACCTTTTTTTTTTAAAAAAAGGCTAAAAAAATACATCGAATAAAAATAGACTTAATTCTTAGCTTCAGCGTCAGCTGCTACAATTAGTATACAGAAAGCTAGTTTCATTGGCAAATTTTTGAGTTACGAATATATTGAAATTTGAGGATGATTTCTAAAATCCAATTCTGTATTTGATTAAACGCTACAATATGAATAAGAATACCATGAGAAAAGTAAAATTTGAATATTTTAAAACTTTATTGTAAAACCAAATTTACTCATTAATGTAAGATTCAAATTGACAAATGTCACGTTAAACACGCGTAAAATTACGATTATTACGTACTATTGAAGCTTGTACATCATGAACAGTGATTATAATGTGCGTACGTATTTGACTGGGTATTTATGATAAATTTGTCTAGTATATTTAAAAACTATGCACAAGTAATACAATTTTTATTACATATGTACAGTACGTATAAATCGGGAAACGAAAGAGCTTCGTATTTATATCCTTCTTGAATAATATTCGTATTCAGTGAATATTCGAATAGAACTTTAACCACGTGTGTAAAGACCCGATGGTAAACCAGTATTTAATTAAATCGGTTTATCTATACTAACCCTTAAGTCGTTGACTGCTTCCTGGAGTAGTGGAGTTGGCGTATGGCCGTATACAATGGTCTACGATGAATCCTAGGTTTGATCCCTGAGGTGCGCCGGGTAAATGGTCCTCAATCTCTAAAAGTGATTTTTTTTTATTATTTTAATGCATTTAATTTATTAAAACATCAAACGATTTGTCCAAAGTCACATTTAATTGAATGATTTTTATCTTTATCAGTTTCTACATTTTTTGCAGCAACATTTATTTTAATTTCTATGTGGACAGATGATAACGCAGGTAAATCTACCAATTAAATCACATTGCACGTAACGTGAAAAATACTACTCGAAATTCAAGTATGTACTTACGTACGTACTTAACGTCACATTTAGAGATCGGAACTGGGTAGCAGAATTTAACATAAATTCAAAATTAAATTGGTAACTAGATGTTAGACTCGTCATTAAATGACGGGTTAGATCTAAACATCTTTATTAAAATGTATAATCTATTGTAGTGATGGGCAATTTGTGGATTTATCCAACTACCCCAGTAGCACCGACAGATTTTCACTGATCGACATAAATTGACCAATTAGATTTTAAGATCAGGCGTAACGTGAAAATCATGCGTTTTTTTAAAAATTTTAAAAAATAGCAAATAACTCAAAATTTTATATATGAAACTACGTACTGTGCATTAGTAAAAAAAATTTCTTGCCAAATTTTGGTATAAAAAAAGCTCCGATGCGATCATAATATCAAAATCTAAGCCTAGTATAATGTTTTATTATTTTAAAAGTCGTTGTTTTGATCAAATCTGATTGGTGTCGATCAGTGAAAATCTATCGGTGCTACTGGGGTAGTTGATTTATCCATACTCTGCAAGATAAAGGTGAATAATTTACATTTTCTTTGCATAATACACAAGATGTAAAAAGTGGTGCAGTAGTGGCGAATGAAGACGGCAGTCATGTAAGTTTTAGTCAATCATAAGTGTAATATGAAAATAAAATAATCAAGTAAAGCAAAATAAACATTCTAACAATCTTTAGGGTTAGGAATTGGTATTTTGATTAGGATGGTTGTATTGTTTGGTTATATTACGGTTTAAAAATTTCACGAAGAATCTCTTTTTTTTTTTTGCCAATATGCAGGATCTAAGAATTCCATCACTAATCTATAGGTTTTAATAATATATCCATGCAATATGGGATTATTTAACATGGCATTTAAAATAACCTTTATATTAATCTTTAACTCGGCGATGAAAATAGGAACGTGCACTGATGCAGATAAAAAAAAGATTTTGTCGCTTTATTGACTTTTCTTTTGGCGCTAGGCTTTCGATAAGGCTTTCGGTGTGTGAACCATACAAATATAATCGCTTAATTAAAATAGAATATATTGTAAAAATTATACAATCTAATTAGTTTACTATTTTCGATTATATAAAAGTAATAGTAATTTTCTGCTGATTTTTACTGAGTTCCAATAGGTTATTTGAAAATTTTCAAAATTTTCAAAATTTATATAATTCTCGGATCGTCTATCTGCAATAGTCAATTAAAATATGTACTATGTTATAATCCCTAAGCATACGTACCCATGCTTACATCAAAAGATCTATATTAGTGTTCAGTTCAAGTAGCTATAGATCATAAATTAGCTTATCATATCTTATTTTTCCAGTGCTGAAATAATTGTGACGCGTGAATTACTTTAGTATTTATTTCGTTTACTGAGTTTTTGTCAATAAATTAATCAATAAATAAATAAATATACAGTATTCAGTGTTGGCTTGACCAGACCAGTTTGACCAGACCAATTTGACCGGTCTGGTCAAAGGATCTGTACTGGTCAAATTGGTCAAATAGTATATTTAAATATAATT